GTTACTCCAAAGACCAATAGTTACATCATATATGACGTATATGTGTGACGTATATACTGACGTCATTGTTATGACGTTCAAAATAACGTCAGATTTAGGTCATAATCACCAATTAGTGACAAAAATCACGTATATTTACGTCATTACAACGTCAGCTGGTTGCTTGGGCATTAATTAGCATATAATTGCATGTCCAATAATTTTACGGGCAAACACCGATTATATAATTTGATTGATCAGTTAAAAATTTTTCTTAAATTTCAAATTTGCATGTTTAGAATTTTATTTTCTTCGAGTACTTTTTCGCTGTAGTATAATTTCGGAACATCTTATTTTTTGTACAGATACATAAATGTTTATACAGATAATAGATGGCAGTTATCAAGTTTGATAACAATCAAGATATTTGCACTGATAAATCATTGATAAAATATGTATTTATCGTGTACATCACGTGATCAATATAACGGAAACTTTAACTTCAATGTAACTTTTTTAGTTACATTGAATTTTCTTGTAACTAGAAATTGTTTTTTTTTTTACGTTACATTTACTAAAAAACTAAACATACAAAACTATATGCCATATTCATCTTAGAGAGAATATAATAGTTATAATAGTTTATAATGAAGTTTTAATTCTTCAACCATCAATTTTCGAATTACTACTAAATGATTACTATTAGCAAAATCTTGCGATGTAACACAAACAATAGAGTAGATTGATGAATTGCAGACAAAACACAGTATTTCACATTGTTTGTCGAAAGTATTGTATAATATTAAACACCTTAATTATTTTACATCTATATATATATTACATGTATATATATATATTACATGTGTATATGTATATACATACATATATATACACACACATATATATGTATATTTACACCTTATATATCTGAAAATCTTATTAGAATCAAAAAAGTATGCGTATTCTTGCGTAGCACTGCTCATTCACGTGACACGCAATGCAAAAATTAACTTTCTTTGAAGAAGCATGCATGCAACAAAAAAACCCGAGAGTCTGAGAGATATCGACATACTTGAAGATCACTTATCAGATTGCTATGTAATATTCTCTGATTAATAGTGATTAATATTATTAAAGATTTGTAATAATAATACGAAAGAGTTTCGAAATATGTAGATATATATTCCGTGAAGACTGTGAAGACTTGAGGATACTATGTTTTAGACACATTGTGTATGTTAGTGTACTGTAACAGCTTGTAATTAATCAACTTGCTGTGTTACTTCGCACGATTTTGTTGTGACGGAAATCATTTTTTACTCGAATTCAAGTAATGACTAAGTCACAACACAAACATAATGCTGCTATCTGTCTTATCGAGCAACCGTATATAAACCGGCGTAGACGACAACATGTTGATTCAATCTTCTGAGAGCGGCATAACGTGCAGGATGCGGTTGCAACACAGCTGTAAGAATAATTGCACAATTATTTCTTTGAATCAAGGTCAAGTTAAAAAAAAATATGTTCGCGGAACATTTCTTCGTACTTATATAATTACAGTCTATTTTTTTTCAATATTTATTATGTTTGAGAATACTCATGTGTTACTTATGTTAACATTTGTCAATTTCAGCGATGCGCTCCGCAATAATATTGCTATTAGCCGCTGCTAGTGCGGTACTGTGCGTCGAAGAATTCACGGAAGCTGGCAATTTAGATAAAGGTGTCTTAATTCCTACAAAAAATGGCGTTCTTCTCGTAAACATAATCAATCGTATTGTTGTTCTCAATCTCACGAAAAATGGTGAGTCGATGATGTACCTTCTTTATATGTTTGTTTCTGTTTAAATTTTGATTTTTATGTCACGTCATCTTTCTTGAGTGCAATTTTTTATTTTATTTTAATATTGGGTTTTTTTAGACGGCGAGACTATGATTAACGTTCTTCACACGAAGACTCCATCGGATACTCTGCAGAATCCTTTTGTACTCGAGCAGAACTGCGGTGGCAGTGACCGAGTTTGCGTAAAAAGCGCCAACGTTACGCACACCGTCATTATTGCTAAAGAGAATAGCGAAATTGTTTATGTGACTCGTGCAGTGGCCAATTCTAATGCCGAGCTTATAGACTGTTACCAGTTCACCGAAGGTACACAATGGTTTGGTGGTCCGGAGCTTCGTCATCAGCACTGGCCTGTGCAGCACATGTACTACGAAGCGGAACCATATGTGCCGACACATCCATCAAACATGGCACTGTCCGAGCGTTACTGGTTGTCCAGCAAAGGAGTTTACATCTACGTGAACGAGACGGCGCCGCTATTTCTTGACCAGAACAACTATCGACATAACGCTTTGTGTCTGATCGCTAAAAATAAGGCGCCCTATCGACATCGCAACAGTATCGAACTTCGATACGAGATCGGAGTCTTCAAGAATCCAAAAGACAGTCATCAGCATGTGGTGAAGACTCATTTGGGACGACCAAAAGGTTATCCCAACGAAAGGATGATTCAGCATCCTATATGGTCCACTTGGGCTAGATACAAGGCCAATGTCACCGAAAAAGTGGTAGAGACATTCGCGGATGAGATCATCGCTTACAGGTTCAACAACAGTCAAATCGAGATTGACGACAAGTGGGAGACCTGTTACGGATCTGCTGTCTTCGATCCCGTCAAGTTTCCCAACGTCACTGGTCTCGTGCAACGATTAAAAAAGAAAGGTTTCCGCGTCACTTTGTGGATACATCCGTTCATCAACCGAGGTTGCGAACCCGCATTCTCCACAGCACTAAATAATTCGTACTTCGCCAAGAATATCGACGGAAGTGTTAGAACGTCGTGGTGGCAAGGTAAGATCTCGAGTCACTCTGAAAATGACGATCATTGTTAAAAGATACGAAAGAGTTCGAATATCGCTTGAATGTTTCGTCTCTCTTTTAGGTTTGGATGCTGCAGTAATCGACTTTACGAATCAGAAAGCAGTGAACTGGTGGGTGGCGCGACTGAAGCGTCTCGAGGAACTTGGTATTGATAGTTTCAAGTTTGACGCAGGCGAAATATCTTGGTTACCGCAAATAGCAACGTTGAACGGCTCTATCGATATACAGCCGGGAATATACACGCAAGATTATGTTAGAGTACTCGCTGCTAATTTTGATGACAACATCGAAGTGCGGGTGGGATGGCGCAGCCAGGAATTACCGATATTCGTTCGCATGATTGACAAAGACACTACATGGACATGGAACAACGGTTTGCCCACGCTGATCACAACGTTGTTGCAAATGAATCTGAACGGATATGTTCACGTGTTGCCGGACATGATTGGTGGCAACGGTTACTTGGACGGTTCACTGAACGCCACATTTTATCCGCCTAAAGAACTCTTCATCAGGTGGTTGCAGGCCAATGTCTTCATGCCATCGTTGCAATATTCTTTTGTACCATGGGACTATGACAATGAAGTGAGTCTGGAAAATTTTATTCAAATTTGAATCTGTTGAATAATAAAATAAAAAATTGACACATGATTCTCATTAAATTATTAATTTGAAGAGACAACCAATAATATGTATATTTTTCTAGACTATTGCCATCTGTAGAAAGTATACTGAACTGCACGCCAACTATACGGAAAAAATTGTAAACGCGATGAAACGGGCTGTTACTGATGGTACACCAGTAAATCCACCTATCTGGTGGATCGATCCGACCAACCAAGAAGCTCATAAGATCAATGACGGTAAGTTTGTCAGATATGTGAAGTTGTTCTTCTTATACAATTCATCTTATTCATAAATAAATGTTGTTCTTCTTATACAATTCATCTTATTCATAAATAAATGTTGTTGTTTAATTGGATTACAGAATATCTTCTTGGAGATTCTATATTGGTTGCGCCAGTAATCGAAGAAGAAGCTGTTTTTCGCGACATCTACTTACCTGCGGGAACATGGTGGGATATGAATCAAAACGTAGTCATCTTTGGACCGAAATGGCTAAGAAATTATCCTGCTCCTTTAGACACGCTCCCATATTTCGTCACAATAAAATAAAGGACGATGCTGATTAAAATTATAAAATATTTATTTTAAGAAACATGTATATAAATTATCTTGTCATATACAACGTGTCAAGTTTTCATTTTGAGATCACTTTTCTTTTCTTATGTAAAGACAATAATTAAATAAGATACTAATTTTTACATAATCAATGTCGTTCTGCTTCTGTTGTATCACACTTTTGAAATATTATAAATTTACTACTTACGTGCCAATAAAGCTCCTATCTCTGTATTAAGTTTTTTAATCACCACATCATCAGCGGCGTAACTTCCGGTTTTTAATAGAGAATCACGTTCTTCTCTCAGCGCTTGCAGACGCTCGTTATATTCTTCTGATTTATGAGACAGGATTTTGTTACTATTATAAGTTTTGAAGATATTATCAGTTGGTGTATAAATCTGATTTTCAATTTCTGTAGAAGGAAAATATTGCCTTGGCTTGATTGTATTGATCTCCCTTTGAAGTTCATTTAGCAAGATTTGATCGTTGTTCAAAGCTTTCGTGTCAACAGACAAAAATTCCGCTAATCTGTTATGAAAAAAAAAGAAAATTT